ATCACACCATTGCACACCAGCCTGAGTGACAAGAGTGAAAATCCGTCTCAAAATTTTTTTTAAAAAAGGCACAGAGTTAGTCAGAGCAGAATGGAAATGTACATCCAAGTCCTCCTAACTCTAGAGTCTACCATCTAGCTTCTCAAACTTGGTTAATTTCCAAAGCAAGAAAAACTGGACATTCCATTGTCCAAGAGAGTAGGTAATCTGTGTGTGAATAATTAATAACATGGTAAAAGAAATGAGCTCCATGTAAAGAAAGTTCACATCAAGTATGACTACGATTACAGTCTCCAAATGATGTGACTACAAAGATTGCCAAAATGCGACCCAGTTAGATGACCTGAGCAGGCATGGTTTTTAGGTTCTATTTTCGTATTTTTTAAGAACATTCAGAAAACACAAACATGATAGAAAGATTTTGACAACTCAACAGGGCTAAGTCATCAGTATTTAATTTCAATTCTAACTATAGGAAAAGCTCACCATGAGGGACTGCATGTCAAATAAAGCAAACAAATCACGTCCTCATGGATGAGGAAAGGAGAGTTTAACCAGGCAGCAGGGCACCAGGGTCAATTGCAAGTGATCATCTGTAGTTAGGAACGGCAGCTAAGAGGAAGCTGTCATTACCTGGTTATACAAATTGGACTCTTCCTAGTTGAATGGGAACATTTATTTTCATTCTCAAGAGGCTTTTCTCGGTTAACTTTTCAAGAACTTACACTGGGCCTTAGGGCTTGAATATTATGGTCTTGGTTCAAATTTACTGCACAAGCATTTCTGCTGAAGCTGAGGTTCACAGTGTGCACTCTATCTTGGCTCAATGTCTGCAATGAGATTAAATGGCACTAGAAAAATAGAAACAAATGAAAGGGACTATTACTTGTTTAGAAAGACCTAAAATTGTAATAAGTTCTAATAAAATGTGTAGGGAAGACCAACAAGTTCTAGTGTTGCCTACACTTGTGCCGTTTTCCCTCCAGAGAGGCTGCCACTAACTAGCGTAGGCCCAGGGTGCTCTTCTGAGCCCAGCTCAACACTGTTCTGAGATTTCTTCCTGGACTCACCCACTGCATTCTGCTCACTCTGGAAAACAACAGTGGCAATCTAGATTTCGTTTTTACTCATCCATAGGCAGCTGTGTGATTTTATTCTACTTCACACATTTGTAAACCACAGCCCCTTCCGACATAAATTAGAAGCTCACTGAAAAAAATACATGTAATGCTTACATATAATATATATATATATATATATATATATATATATATATAATCTCTCCAAGAAAGCTGAGAGAATATATGTGTGTGTGTATACATATATGTGTGCCTGTATATATTATCTTCAGATAATATATACAGGCACACATTTTTCTTCCTTTGTTTCCAAGGCTTTTATTACAATAACAACTACTAATATGTAGGAAAATAAGAAAAATATTCATAAAGAAAAACAGATAAGAGTAATAGATTTAAAAACTCTCTACCTCATATTTTCTCTTGATCATTCTTTTTTCATATGGTATCACTGGTAGACAACCTACTGTGATATCTTTCATAAAAATCCACTAAAAGGTAAATCAATAAATAAAGTTCAAGTCAGATTCCAACTCTATAAAATATAGATTACATGATCTCTAAGATTTTTTTCCCAAGTTCTCAACTTTTAGTAGTCTTTGCAGTATTTGACCAATCAAGTTATCATATATAAGTTCTTAACGCAATTATTGAGTCACACAAGTACAATAAAAATAAAACAAAAGAGTTCAAAAAATTCTGAAAGTTAAAATATCTTAAAATACCTCTAAAATATCTGGAAAATAATGTTGGTCAGCTGACTTTATTTGTATGTGATAAAATACTGTGTGTGGTTTTATAGATCTACTTACAAAACTCTATTTTGATCTAATTTTCAAAGATACAGGACATTTTAGTGAGAAAAGTTTAGTGTGAATTACATGAGTAAATAAGATTAACTCATTGACTTAAATTGGCATTCAGAATAAAAGATGATTGGATGTGGTTGTTTGTACCCATATCATAAATAAAATACAGGGTAAAAGTCAGGGTGTTACACGTGACTCCTCTGTAGAGCAAGTGCCCAGCAGCCTCCACGCCTCGCAGGCATTTGACAACAACTGAGCAGTGCGACTTTCCCGTGAAAAAAGCAAAGATATGGAGGAAAGCTATAGAAAGGTGATATATTGTCTTCAGATTCTTAGGAGGTCAGTGTTCAAGGTGCTGTGAGTAAATGGATGATGTAAATGAAAGGTTTAGAGAGAAAATGGTGGAGGATAAAGGTAGGGAGGTGAGTAATGCATAGACTGTGAAGGGCTTTGTGTGCATGCAAAGGAGTCTTAGGCTGATAGGATACTCCATGCCAAAGAAGAGTTTTAAGAACCCAAAAATAATGAGGTGAGTTTTGGGTTTGATACAGACTATTCCAGGCAAGAAGAGGGAAAAAACAATCGTATCGCCATTGAAACAATCAATGACAGGCCCTCAAATGTTTTGTTAGAGTGCCTAGAGCAACTATTTGTTTCTATTTCCCAGTTGAAAAAGAATTCAGTGATAAATAAATAACTAAGAACAGAATCAGTTTTGGAGTAGGGGTGTGTGGGGGTGGGGAGGTGCGCGTGTGTGTATTTTCACTTTCACAATAGGGGCGGGGGCGACACATATTGAACCACATCACAAGCATGTCTTAAAGTCTAGACATTTCAAAATCAATAAAACATAAATATTTATGGTGAAGATATAAATAATTGAAACCATGATTAACCAAAAAACCTATAATAAGCTATATTAATCTTGATTAATCTAAACAAGTTGATAACAAAAAAGTCAAGCACAGCAAAAACAGAAAATCACAACCAACCAAAGGCAGCTAATTACAATTTATCTCCCCCCCCAGTTCTAAGGACTCTAATTACCTACCTGTGAGTACACAAAATACTAATCTTGTAATACAGCCAACAACACGTGGAAGTCAAACTTCTTAAGAAAAAATGAATTAAAGTATTTGGAAAACCCTAATCACATTAATTTTAGCTCAATTTCAAATCTGGAACTCTTAGTAACTCCCACTTAATAACTTACATAAGAATGAAAATCTAGAAAATGTCACATTGTTTCCCGAGAGCAGTTAATATTAATTGAGCACATACTATGGGGCAGGCAGATTTTGAATTCTATCCATTCATTTATCTCATTTAATAATTGTAAACTCATGAGGTAGAGATTAATATTATCTTTATTTCATAGATGAGGAAACTGAGGCATAGAGACATACACACTAAGCAAGCTTTAAACTGAGATTCAAAACCCACCATTCTGACTTCAGTTATCTCATTTTTAACAACTAGTATATACTGCTCTAGAATTTGCATTTTTAGATTTATTCTAGGATCATCAGAAGAACCTGTGCAATTCACTAGCAGACCTCAGATCATATCCTGAGAAGCATCTGTAACTATGATGACACCACAAAATAATGCAATAGCATTGAAAACATGCACTGGGGGTCAAAGATGGATTCCAGAGAATTAAGAAAGAGAACCAGCAGGCACTTAGTGGCTGTTTATACGTATGGGTTAAGGAAGCGGCGAAGAGGGAGCAGCATCTGGAATGGCAACTTAGGAAGCAAACAGAAGCTACAGTAGAAAGTGTAAGTTTTTGGCTTGGGATGGAGTTTGGGTTTGATGCATAGACTCTGGGATGCTTCTGAGACATTCAGGTAGAAAAGCCAGGTGGGTAGAGTGACAAAGGAGCAGGCAATGGTTGGATTGGAGTGAGGAGAGCTGTCCCTGTGCCTGCAATGCTGGTCCATGCCTACCCCAGTGGAGCTCATTCATACATGAGAAAGTTCCTGGGTGAGGGATGGATGTGCAGGGTGTATTGGGGGGTTCACATAAAGTGAGAACCATCTCCCTGACATGTTGGGCTGTGAAACAAGGCAGAATGAAAAGCAAGATGTAGGAAACCACAAAGCACAGATGCTGGTACTCTTCCCTACTTGGAGTCCTCCACATGGTGCTGACCATGGTCTCCTTCATTTTACAATCTTGGGGTACTGGTTCTACACGTGCCAATACGTTGTGGGCTCCATAAGGGCCTTCATCTCTTTGATTTTGCAGTTTTTGAAGAACCTAGCACAATGTAAAACTGTTTCTCCAATTATTTAGCCAGGGATTCTTCTCATTTTTACAAGAAGTCCTTTAAGGTATAAGGTTCAAGCATCATTAGGCTGGCTCCATGTAAGACATCCTCATTAATAGAAAAGTATTCTAGCTTCGCCTTAAGAAACCAATGGCAGGGAAAGAGAAGCAGTGAGGGAACAAAATGAACATGAGAATGGAGAACATTTTCACTTGCATCTGGAGCTGGTTATTAGTCATGTCAGCATAATCAGATCAGTGGACTCCTTCAGACAAAATAATAAGGTAGTTTGGTTTGCAGCTCATTAAAATTTAGAGTGGTTAATTTCCTACTTTACTTTAAGTAGCTAGAAAGTCAGAAATAATAAAGATGCAAGTAAAGTAGAGGATTTTAAGATTTTTTTACAAGTAAAAAAAATCTCAAAATTGTTGGAAGTTAAAGCATTTTAATTTTCCAAAAGACTTTGTGTAGTCTATTCTATAAAATAAAATTAAGATAAGATGTTTAAAAAAATAAGATGAACTTGTTCAAAGCAACAACCAAAATTAGATGGATTTAGATGTGCTAGCTCAGCTTTCCAAACTAAAATGTAGAAAATGAAGATTCCCATGGAAAACACTATCAAAATAATTTTTTAATGATTATCACTTTTCATTAACATAACACATGTCCTTTGATGCTAAATTGTAAATAATTGGCTTTCAGTGTAGCTGTAGTGATGATTAATTCGCCTATGTGATATTTAGCTTTCAAATGCCTATAATGGCATGAATAAACAACATTATGGCTGGAAATCAGGCCAAGTATTTAAAGAGCAACGACAAAGAGCAAAGTACTCACCCTGCGGCACCTCCAGGGGATGTCCTGTGACATCACACCATCCGATCGGGTGGATGTCGGGGCTGTCCGCCTCCACCCAGTAGTCATACTTATGGTCCCAACCATCAAAATGAACCTGTTAAAAAGAATTTTCAACGATTAGTATTTAGTATTTCACTAGTGCTGTATTGAAATATTTGAATACAGATCTCTGAAGTTGAGATTGAAATTTTATTAATCACACCTTGCAGTTGAAATAGTATTTAAAATGTGTCATTCTACAGCCTCCTAATCCAGCCAACAAAGGCGACTGTACCAATTTTTCAAAAAAAAATTTAAAGAGGTTGGTAAATAAAACATTTGTCAGGGATTGATCAGAATTTGAAGAAGTAAGACCAATCTATTTTCTCAACTAAGACAAATACTGGAATGCTGTTGAGGGCACACTCTCTGTCCTGGGCAACTGTCCTAGTAACCACTTCAAGAACCATGTCAGCATCATCAACAGTAAGAGTCACCAACTTGATATTAGTACAAGGCCTGTAATGATGGGAAATACACAGATTAGAATATAAAGAAACAATTAATTGCTAAAACCTCGAAATGAGAGATGGGCCCCTTTGGAATAAGGAGGCAAAAACAGTAGACAAAATATGCTACAGGGGTAGACAGATTTTAGTAGCTACCGTAAGAGCTATTCAAAGACCAAGCGTAAGCTATCAAGAAATCTTCTAAAGAAGAGGTAGGGCCCAGGTCTAGTCATCCTACCAGCATAGGCTCAAGCAAGGCTAATTATTGCAAGGATAATTTATCTTGTATCTTATCTACAAAACACACACACACATACCATGCACATATATAAGAATAATTAAATAAATCCCAATTTTGGAAACAAAAATCTAATTATTCTTTCTTAAAATAAAAATAATTATTTCTTTTTAAAAAAGCTATATCCTTTCCAATGCAAAGAAGCCCACTTAAGTTTTTGAAAATCATATTTGAATAAAAAGAGCAAGATGCCTAGTGCTATAATAAGCTAACCTGAAATATAAATCCGTTATGCAGAACATAAGACCAAAAAAGCAAAATTCTATATATTCAGTCCCAAATAAACTCCCAATATTTTTTCTCAAGAGTCATCTTTCTAAGCAAGTGGTTTTCCAAGTGCGATTCCCTGACTATCAGCATCACCAACCTGGAGCTTGTTCAAAACGCAAATTCTTGGGCACTACCTCAATCCTACTGAACCAGAAACTCTAAAGGTAGAGCCTAACAGTGTGTGTTAACAAGTTTTCTACATGAGTCTGCTATATGCTAAATTTGAGAACCAGAGATTACAGTAATAACTTTCAAAAGTATATTTCTACCAAACTTAGGTTTCTGATCATAACAGAGTGCCCTTTCACAGTAATAACCATAAAACTGGACATATGCAGCAACGTTTTCTGACATTGGACAACAGGCAGCACAGAAATGCAATCCCTACATAAAGGAAAACATCCCAGATGAGCCCTTAATATCAGCCTGGAGACAACTTCCTGATTGCAGCACAGAGAGGAGAAACGTAAAGAAAGCAGTTTTGCAGTCAGAGAGACACAGATTACAGATCAGAGCTAATGATGCAGCTGGAAGTTAAAGGACAAAGTACTGGAGAAGACAGGACTACAAAAAGGGCAGGGTGTGGTGGCTCACTCCTGTCATCCCAGCACTTTGGGAGGCCAAGGAAGGAGAATTGCTTGAGCCCAGGAGTTCCAGACTGGCCTGGACAACATGGTGAAACCTCGTCTCTACAAAAAAATACACAAATTAGCCAGGTGTGGTGGTGATCATCTGTGGTCCCAGCTACCCAGAAGGCTAAAGTGGAAGAATCACCTCAGCCTAGGGAGGTCGAGGCTGCAGTAACCCATGATTGTGCCACAGCACTGCAACCTGGGCGACATAGTAAGACCCTGTCTCAATAAAGAGGGAGATCTAAAAGCCCATGTGTGGTTATTCACAAGACCTTGATCAAGGGCTGGACTACCCATGTACCAGGTGAGACTTTCTGAAACCAAGGAGAGAGTAGCCAATATGAGGCTGAGAATGAAACAAAGATAATAGAGGTCACACGTTCCTGGGAGAGGGTAGAAACTAATGTGGAGAAACCTCAATAACACGTTGACAATTTGACTGAGATACCACCAAGTTCACACTTTTGGGAAAAGAAAGATGCCCTAGAATAAGCAATACTCATGAACTGCCCTAAAAAAAGGATAAAATCAAGCCTCAGCAAGATGAAGAATTACCAGTAATTAACTCCCCAAAAGAACCAAATCCACTCTTTTTAAAAGAAAATAAATATTCCCACTAGATACTGTAACATTCATTACGTATAACACACAAAAATTTATTAAACATGTAAATAAGCAGGAGACTGTGAGCCATACTCATTTTGTAAGGAAGTTGTCAACAGAAATACACCCTGAGATGACCCAAATGTTGTAATTAGCAGGCAAGGACTTCAAAGTAGTTATTGAAATATGTTAAAAAACATAACAGAACATGGTCTTAATGAGTGAACAGAGAATCTCAGGAGAGAAATGGAAACTATAAAAGAGAAGCACATGGAAATTCTAGAACTCAATAGCAAAATATCTTAAATATTGCTTGACGGCAATATTATTACTGCATGGCAATAATAGCAGATTGCAGACGGCAGAAAAACAGATGAGTGAATATAAAATAGAAAAACAGATTCATAGAAATTATATACAAAATATAAAAACAGATTTATAGAAGTTATTAATCTAAAGAACATATGATGTTCAGATGTGGTGGCTCACACCTGTAATTGCAGCACTTTGGGAGGCCAAGGTGGGCAGATCACTTGAACCAGGCAGTTGAGACCAGACTGGCCAACATAGTGAAGCCCCACCACTACTAAAAATGCAAGAAGTAGCTGGTGTAGTAGTGTACACCTGTCATCCCAGCTACTCGGGAGGGTGAGGCACAAGGATGGCTTGAACCTGGGAGGTGGAGTTTTCAGTGAGCTGAAACTGCATCACTGTACTCCAGCCTGGGCAACAGAGCAAGATTCTGTCAGAAGAAGAAGAAGAAGAAAGAAGAAGAAAGAAAGAAAGAAAGAAAGAAAGAAAGAAAGAAAGAAAGAAAGAAAGAAAGAAAGAAAGAAGAAGAAGAAAGAAGAAAGAAAGAAAGAGGAAGAAGAAGAAGAAGAAGAAGAAGAAGGAGGAGGAGGTGGAGGAGGAGGAGGAGGAGGAGGAAGGAAGAAGAAGAAGGAAGAAGAAGAAGAAGAAGAAGAAGAAGAAGAAGAAGAAGAAGAAGAAGAAGAAGAAGAAAGAAGAGGAGGAGGAGGAGGAGGGGGAAGAGGAGGAGGAGGAGAACAACAGATGCAAGATTTAAATAATGAATAGAGCCTGATAACATCAGCTCATCCAACATACACATATTTAGGACATGGAGGGAATGGAGCAGGAATAGTTGTTAAATAAAACAAACATAGAAGAGATAAAGTTTAAAAAAAATCCCTAATTTGGCCAAAAATACCAATTTGCAAGCTTAAGAATGGCAAAACCTGAGCATAACAAACACAAAGAAAATCGGTGGCTCAAGCCTGTAATCCCAGCACTTTGGGAGGCCGAGGCGGGTGGATCACAAGGTCAAGAGATCGAGACCATCCTGGTCAACATGGTGAAACCCCGTCTCTACTAAAACTACAAAAAATTAGCTGGGCATGGTGGCACGTGCCTGTAATCCCAGCTACTCAGGAGGCTGAGGCAGGAGAATTGCCTGAACCCAGGAGGCGGAGGTTGCGGTGAGCCGAGATCGCGCCATTGCACTCCAGCCTGGGTAACAAGGGCGAGACTCCATCTCAAAAAAAAAAAAAAAAGAAAAAGAAAATCAAAACTAGGCAAATCATAGACCACTGAAAGTGAAAGATAAAGGGAAATTCTGAAGGCAACCTGAGAAATGCAACACATTACAAAGAACAGAGCCATGATGGGAAAGTGGGCCTTCCCATCCTTCTCACCAGAAACAGTGCAGGCAAGAAGATAATAAAATGACATCTTTAAAACACTAAGAAGAAACATAAAAAGCTGTCAAACAGAATTTCAATTCCTACAAAAACAACTTTCAGAAAAGAGTAAAATAGAGAAAATTTCAAATAAACGAAAACAGAATAATATGCACGTATAGTTTTATACTATAAGAAATATTACAGGAAGTATTTCAGGCTGATGCTAAGTGATGCCAGATGGAAACTCTGATCTATGTGAAGAGCACTAGCAATGGCAAATACATGGGGAAATATGCAAGGCTAGTTCTGCATTCTAACTATAATCAATTAATTCATTACACCATCTCAATGGATATAGAAAAGGTATTTGACAAAGTTCAATACACAATGATAAATACTTCAGCAAATTAGAAATAGAAGGGAACTCTCTTCGTTGGATAAAAGGCATCTGTGAAACACTTACATGTAGTATCTATAAAGAAATACTTTATAGAATGCTTTGCCCCCAAAATCAAGAATAAGGCAAATTTATTCATTCTTACTGTTTCTACTCAACATTGTAATGTAGTGCACTTAGGCAAGAGAAAGAAACGTTAACAAAAGGCATGAAAATTCCAAAATCAGTCAATATAAAACAATCAGTTGTATTAATATATGCTGGCAACAAAAAACTGAAAAAATAATAATTTTCAAAAAATTTCCTTTAGAATAGCAAATGAAGAACTTAGCAAAACATCTGAGAAAGTAAGAAAATGTGCAAGACCTACACATTGAAAACTAGAAAACATTCCTAAGAAAAATTAAAAGATGATCCCACATAAGCAAAGAGAACTATCATGCCCACAGGCTGGAAGACTCAATATTATTATTAATATGTCATCTCTTCCCAGATTGTTCCACAAGTCAATATAATCCCACTCAAAAAGGAGGGCCTTTTGTTTGTATAATTTGACAAGCTGATTCTAACATTACAAAGGAATGAAAAATGATCTAGCTTATCCAAAACTATTTTGGGAAAAAAATTAACTAAGTTGCAGGATCGACACTATCTGATTTTTAGAATTACTACAAAGGCATAGTTATTAGGACAGTGTTGTACTGGCTTAGGACAGGCAAACATA